TTCGGGGAAAGATTTATCACTGTTCCCTGTTACGTCACAAACACCCCCTCCCCCACCCAACCGGCAGCCAACCCAGACACAGGACAGCCCCCCCACCATCCCTGCCAAAAAACTATGCACAATACACTTCGCCTCCGAATCTGGAGCATGCGCGGGCGCCCCGCGACCACTTTGCACAGATGTTTACCAGGACCTGATATTGCTTGCTACGCGCAGACCAACCCTGCGGGCAACCTCCACTGCCGCCTTCTCCGCCATAGCTCAGTGGCGCGCGCGGTAACATCAAAATAGAGCAAACTCAACACAGAGTGCGGAGCCCGTCCGGGCTCCCGTGCCACGCCGCCCCCATCGTGTCCCCGCCCCGCAGGTGGGGGCAAAGAGGGCTGGGCCGCTGTCAGTCACACCTGTTCCTGCGATACGTGCTGACAGCGTTCCTCGTGGGACCGCATAGGGGTTGATCTCATCCCAGCGGGAAGTAAACCTGTCCCCTGGTGCCTCGATTGAAATGGGCCGGCGAATTTCCGCTCGACTGTCCGTCGAGAAGATGCGTTTCGCGGGTGCCCGCTCGAGGACAATGAGCCCCCGATCTCGGATCGTCGATAAATAACGGCTCGAACGACACGCTTATTTTGCAGAACTTACACGGCCTGGGCGCCCCAGGATGCCCAGGTGGTTCTGAAGCCCGAACACAGAGTCATTCAGTGAAGAACGCGGGTCTGACGGCACCGAGAAGGCCCGAAAGAACCCCAAGAAGAGCCCAAGAGGGCACCAACATGGTCCCAAGACAGCCCCCAGAGCGCCCACGAGCGATGTGAGGGAGGGAGCTCCAAGAGTTCCAAGAAGGATCCAAGAGTAGATGTTCAGGGCCCCAGAGGGGCGGCGCCCAGGACGGCCCCTGAGACCCCCAAGAGCGCCCTGAAAGGGCCCCAAGAAGCGCCCAGGAGGCCCCAAGGCCTCCAAGAAGCCCCCATCAGGCCTCCATGAGACCCTCAAGAGGTCCCAAGAAGCTCCCCCGAGGCACACAGGACGCCCCAAGAGGCCCTCGGGGCCGCTAGACGCCCCCAAGACGCCCCAAGAGGACTCCAAGAGGATGCTCACAAGAGACATCCGGAGAGCCTCCGAAAGGCATCCAAGAGGCCTCTGGCCTTTCTGCTCGCCCTCCTCCTTCTACTACTCTCTTCTCTCCCCTGATGACGTCCAGAAGATACTCGGCCCCCCTCCGCGTATTGTTTGGGAACTGGGTTTTCGGTGGGGATGTTTTTCAAAATGCTGCTCCCGCTGAGTCGCTGGCCTCATTTTCGGGCTTCCGCTCGTTCCGCATTGTGCTCCCGCTGCAGCGATGGCCTCATTTCCGCGATTCCGCTCGTTCCAAATCGTGCTCCCGCTGCAGCGTTGGCCTAATTTTCGCGCTTCTGCTCGTTCCGAATCGTGCTCCCGCTGCAGCGCTGGCGACATGATTTCCAATGCCATGCCACGGCATGGTTTTCGGACCTTCCAATTAGGCCCCAAAATCTGGAAAATGGCACCCCGAGAAAACCATCGGAAGTGATTACACATTCGGTGTCGATTCGTTGATTTTTTGGGCCGCAAAGGCCCCCCCACTTTGGGGCGTCGCCACGCCATGCTATGCCACGTTACGCGTTGATCTTCAACACCATGCTATGCCATGCAATGCTATGCCATGCTGCGACATCCGACTGTGCGAATAGAGAGGAGATCTACGCCATGGTCAGGGATGGGAGGAAGGGGTAAGACGTCAGATATGACGCGAGCGCACTGAGTTTGTCCTTATCCTCCTCCTCCTCCTCCTCCTCCTCCTCCTCCTCCTCCTCCTCCTCCTCCTCCTCCGCCTCCTGCTACTCCTCCGCCTCCTCCTCTCTCCTCCGATTCCTCCTCCATCCTCCCCCTCTTGGGGTATGACGGCTTCCCCATACCTTTATTCAACTGCATGCTCCTCCACATCCCTGATCAGGGTAAGTCGCCTGAGCACCGTTTCTGGATGGGCTGGTGGGGGTATTCGGAATGCCTGGAGCAACACTGAACCATATACCGCTGTGGCATTATGCACAGTCGAGCAAACATCAGCATGATGTATGCACTTCGCCCCGAAGAGGGGAGGAGGACGAAGAAGAAGAGGAGGATGAGCCAAAGAAAGAAGAAGAGAAGGATTTCTGAAACTCTGTCTCTCTAGCAAAAGCCTATACTCGGATCAGGAAGAAGAACAGAAAGAGAAGGAAGGCAGACCGAGGAAGGACAGAGGAGGGGGGCATCCTCGTCCTCCTCCTCCTCCTCCTCCTCCTCCTCCTCCTCTTCATCATCACTTCTTCTCCTCCTCCTCCTCCTCCTCCTCCTCCTCCTCCTCCTCCTCCTCCTCCTGCTCCTCCTCCTCCTCCTCCTCTTCCTCTTTTCCTCCCCCTCCTCCTCCAACCCTTCGCCTCCTCATCCTCCTCCTTTCCTCAGGTGTCCTCCACTTCCTCCTGCTGGATCTGCAGACCACGAGGGAAGCGAAAAATGTGGAGCGAAGGGGCCTCTCTGGCCAAAAGAGACCCCGGCCACGAAGAGGCTCCCCGGCCGCCGGCTCCGAGGGAGCGATTCAGGCTAGATCCGACAGTGCGCCCGAAAACCGGAACCCCTCCACAACCCAAAGCGGTCATCATTTCGTCGTCCTCCTCCTGCTCGTACTCCTTCTCGTCCTCCTCCTCCTCCTCCTCCTCCGCCGCCGCCGCCGCCAACTCCCCAATCCCGCTCTCCCTCTCGCCGCCCACGACCCCTCTGGCCCAATCATCCGCTCACTCATTCGACTCCTCCTCCTTCTGCTCCTCCACCTGCACCTCCAGCACGCCTCCCACACACTTCCTCTTCCTCCGCATCATCACCGTCTTAGGCTATGATGGGGGTCAGCACGGATCTAGGGGCGTGGGAAGGCGGTAGGCTGTTTGCATTCGCAAAATAGGGGGATCCCCCTTGAAGAGAGAAGCCTCTCTGCACCTACTCGGCGCGTCAACGGATGGGCCAGCACGCTCTAAGGATAGGCCGGTACACCCGTACTGTCGAGGAGTAGAGGGGTGGTGGTAAGCGTAAGGCCCAGCAGCCGCATGTTTGATGACACGAAATCTCTGAATTCGCATCCTCCGTCTAGGCACCCGGTAGTCCGAGGGCTGGGACGCCTGGGGGGCAGTGGAATCGGAGGTCGCAAAAGGGCGTGGTATAAAGGGGTGCGGTGCCATGCTGAACATGGCGATGTTATCTGTGATAGCGGCAAGTGCGTTGCATCCCGATTTCAACAACGTTGGCTTGGCGCCGACCGCAACAAACAAAGTCGATAGAAGAATTCCAACTCCCCAAGCGACCGCCGCCCAATCTGAACGGCGACACGAAGGCCCAGAAACTCGCACCTCGATCCTCCGAGGAGTACAGTCGGGGCGCTGAAGAAAGAACCCTTTTCGTTGGGGAGGGGCTCGGTGTTCCTTGATTGTTTTACAGTTTGCCTCAGGTGTTCCTGAGATCTTCCCTGGGAAATCGAGGTGTAACTTATGGGAACAAGGGGCCTCGTTCCTTATTTGGGGTTCCTTAGGTCAAGGGGGAGAGGCGGCGACGAACCGAGGCTCCGAGGCTCGGTCCTCGATCCTCCGAGGTCTTGGAGGCCTGGGGAATGGGGCAAGCGGCGGCGACGAGCCGGCCCCGAAGCTCGGTCCGCGCACCTCCAAGGTCTGGGACAACCCCGCGGGGCACGCACAACACGAAGTCCCTGGATCCGCGGGGCGCTGTCCACCTCCACCTCCCCCAGGCGCGCGGCCCAGACGGCCAGGCGACCAGCAGCGCCGCAGAGCGGCCGCGCCTCAAAACTGGAGCGGTTGCCTCTTGCAAGCCGCCTGGGGAGTCTCGGGGCGATGTTGGACAGTCCGTGGCCCGCCGACCGCACTTCGGCCGCACGCGGGTTGGATCTCCCGGCCGGCAGGATGGGGGAGGGGGGGCTGGGACAACTGGGGGCGGTGGAGGCGGCGGGAAAGAGCCGGCACCTGAGGTACAGATGCAAAAAGTGCTGACAACTGCCAAGGCAAGTTCGTTCCTCCTTTTGGGATGCCAGCCCGTAGGGCCCTGATTCGTGAGGATCACCAACGGGCATGGGGTGAGGAGGGGGTGGAGGCTCGGCTCAGCGAACGCGATGGTGAGGTGAAACATCGCCAAGTGCTCCGCACTGAGCACCTCATCATCATAGTTATCCGCCATCCCCCGTTTTAGGCCACGAGGTTGGTATCCCCATTCATCGAAAAGAACCCCAAATTGGCTGGTGAAGGGAACCACCCGTGCTGTAACTAACAGCCGCGACTATCCCCTCCTCCTCCTCCTCCTCCTCTTCCTCCTCTTCCTCCTCCTCCTCCTCCTCCTCCTCCTCCTCCTCCTCCTCCTCCTCCTCCTCCTCCTCCTCCTCCTCCTCCTCCTCCTCCTACCTCCTCCTCCTCCTCCTCCTCCTCCCCTCCCCCTCCCCTCCCCCTCCTCCCCTCCTCCTCCTCCTCCTCCTCCTCCTCCTCCTCCTCCTCCTCCTCTCTCCTCCTTCCTCCTCCTCCCTCCTCCTCCTCCTCCTCCTCCTCCCTCCTCCTCCTCCTCCTCCTCCTCCTCCTCCTCCTCCTCCTCCTCTCCTCCTCCTCCTCCCTCCTCCTCCTCCTCCTCCTCCTCCTCCTCCCCTCCTCCTCCTCCTCCTCCTCCTCCTCCTCCTCCTCCTCCTCCCTCCTCCTCCTCTCCTCCTCCTCCTCCTCCTCCTCCTCCTCCTCCACCTCCTCCTCCTCCTCCTCTCTCCTCCTCCTCCCTCCTCCTCCTCTCCTCCTCCTCCTCCTCCTCCTTCCCTCGCCCTCACCCTCCCTCGCCTTCCTCCTCCTCCCCTCCTCTCCTCCTCCTCCTCCTCCTCCTCCTCCTCCTCCTCCTCCTCCTCCTCCTCCTCCTCCTCCTCCTCCTCCTCCTCCTCCTCCTCCTCCTCCCCTACTCGCCCTCCTTTCCCTCGCCCTCCCCTCCGAAGGCGGCGACATCGGATAGTTGACGGAGCACTGTAGGCGCAGCTCGAACTTCCCCCCCTCGAAGGGCGAGTCCTCGCAGGATGGGCCGGCTAGCCAGGAGAGAAGTTTTTTTCCTAACAGAGAACCGTGGATGACGATGCCAATCATGGCCATGATGCCTATGACGACGCCCGTGCTCAGTACGCAGAACCTCTGAAAACGGGGCGTGCGATGGGGCAGACACGCTCCCAGAGTGCGCAGTGAAACAGAAGCCACCGAGGTCGATGGCGCCTGGGCAGGCGGCAGGCGGCAGGCGCGCCGACCAGCCGGGTAAGCGAACGAGAGACAGCGCCGGGAGCGGGCAGCTCCATGCTCGAGGCAGCTAGTGGCTGGCAGCAAACCACGGAGGGGACACTTCGCCGCCCAAGGGCGTCTTGGCGGGGTGGAGGTGCAGGGCGACAGGAGAGGCAAGAGACGGCGATAGGAGAGCCAGGAGAGAAGTGCAAGCCCTGACAAGACTCGGGGGCGCGCAAACATGGATTAGCGATCCGTGGATTTGGGGCCCCCCCCAAAAATGCGGGAGAAAGGCCCGTCAAGACACTGGCGGGGCCATCCCTTGCGCGCTCCCCCCCCTGCGGGGCCTCCCGGAGTCTCCTCGCCGCCGCGCCTGGGTCTGCCTCCAGAGAGAGAGAGAGAGAAGCGGGTCAGGATGGAGCCCGGGAGGGGTCCGGGGGAGCAACCTTCGACTGACTACCAAGCAGACCACCCCAACCCAGCCCGAAGGCCACCATTTCGGGTTGGGGAGGGTACGGGTTCCATGTGTTTTTCCAACGTTCCCCGACCCCCCCACTAAAAGTGGAGGGCAAATGGAGGCCTTCGAGATGGGTTGGGGTGGTCTGGGGAGCGACCTTGGACAGACTTGGGCTGGGCGGGGGAGCCGCCGCTATCTCGACTGGTCCTCCTCCGACTCGCTCCTCCCCTTCCTCCCTCCGTTTCTCCTCCGAGAAAGCGGCACCGGCCGGCAGTAGAAGGGCGGACAAGGGGAGGAAGACGGTCCGAAAAGAGCAGACCAAAGGAAAACAACAATTGAGAGGATGGAGTCCGCTGGCCGTAATAGGGCTATCCCGACACCGAACGGCGCGGCGGAGAGGGAGCGGGGAGGGAGAGAGGCATGCAGGCCAAACAGGCTGGGGCATTGATGCCCAAGAGAAGAGAATCACGGTGGGCATGAACGATCGATCGAGGAACGTACGCAAAGATCGTGTGGCAAACATTTTCTGGATATCGCTCGTCTGGGCATCCAACAAAGCATGAGAGCCGGCGAACATCGATTACATACTCGTGGAGGCTCGGTCCAGCCTTGGGCCCACGAATCACTGCAGACCAATTCTCGATGGTGTCGTTCTGCATCTCGATCGAGATATCCTCCCCGCACCGCGCGTGTCGGTGCGCCTGTTGCCGAACCAACCAAATTCCCATCCTCCGTTCATCAAGCCGCCCCCCATTGCTCCCATTCATAACACTCCATGTGCTCCTGCTGCGGAAGGCTTCCGCAATGCTGCAGAGATCTGTGTGCGCCCCGATCGGCACGTGGGCCACTCCCTCACAGATTGGGTCTGACCCCATGCGACGACGCCGCCCCATTGAGGCAACGAACTTGCAAAACCGTCCCGGATAAGAGCAATGCGTTCATCGAAGATTTCGCCAGCAGACGCCTTCCAATAACCTCTCCTCACGAAGCTCCCGCGCACTATGGTTCCTACAAGGTGCACCATCGTTTGGGGGGGCCAGCTCTTCCAAACCAACACTCTCTTCCCATGCAAGTGAGATTTACAGGTCCCCATACATCCAAGCCGCAACACTTCTCCCCCTAGCCTGACTAGCCTAGCCACGCGAAGGGGGTGCTTCAGTGCCTTTCAGGATTGATGTGATGACGATTTGAGGCCTGTCAGGAACGTCTAGTGGTCTCTTTGGGGGCCTTTGGGGAACCTCCAGAAGCCCTCCTAGGGGCTTCTCGGGGGCCCCTTGGGGCCTTCTGGGGGCCTCTTCGGAGTCCTGGAGAGCCCTCTTGGGATCGTTGGGGCGATCTTGGGGCCAACTGAGGATTGCCACTGTGAACCTCGGCTCGACTTCGAGAGTTCTCCCAGGGGGAGGGTGGCCGCGGTCTTGCCTCGCAGGCCGCTCGCTCCCCCTCGGCGGGGCCTGAAGGTCCCAGGCCCAGCCGCCCCAACCCGCCCCCGCGCTGCTCCGCGGCGGGCCCCCCGCTCTCTCCCGTTCGCTTCGGCTCCTCGCGAGGCGACGGCGGGAAAGCCCGGCACATGGAGTCCAAACAGAAACAGGCGTCCACTCTTATTCGGCCTCCAGGGCCACAAGTTAAGTTGCGTGCCCTCCGGACGAAGACGTGGACCAAACGATCCGTTGCCGATCCCAGCGGGGGTCCAGCGGGAACTTTGCCAGGGGCGTCCGTCACCGACCCAAGCAATCCGCGCGAACCTCTGGAAGGTCATGTTTACGCCAGCTTGTGTTCTTCGAGTTAGCCCTCCCACACCCCCCTTGGGAGGCAAATTGTGGGGGGGTATTTGTGGGAACGAATACGGGCTGTCAAGTCCGATCAAGGGGCTACTGGGCTGGTTCGAACTAGACGGACGACCCAAGATTGGACGGGATTTAAACCCGATTAAACAGGATCACGCCAGACTAGGACGGCGATGGAGTACGGATATCTTCTGTTCGATATCGATGACTCCATGTACCGATGTTAGACCTCTGAAGCACAGGCGGGGAGTCGGCAGGTCATCGTCGTTTCCCCCAAGTGAAACGGCATCCCTAGCGCGGAAAAGAAGGGAGACAGAGGGACGATCAGGAGGACAGGGGAGAGGAGAAGGCGGATACGAAAGCGCCCAAGATCGCGCACTGCGTGGCAGAGAAAGTCCGCCGATCCGGCGTGTGAGTTTGTGAGAGCGTGGGCTTGAGCTCGCTCAAGCTTCGCTCTGGAGAGGGGGGGGGGACGAATTCCAATGGAATTCAGTGAAATCACAAGCTCTGGAGAGGGGGGGGGGAGCGCTTTCGCTCTGGAGTGGGGGGAGGAGGAGAGAGGAGGAAGGGGGGGGGGGGGAATTCCAACCAACGAGATAAACTGAACCCACAAGCTCTGGAGAGGGGCGAGGGGGGGGGGGGGGGGGCGAATTCCAACGCGGAATTCACTGAACGCACACGCCCTCGAAGGGGGGGGCCGAATTCCAACGGAATTCACTGGGGGCTGACTGACGCCATTCAGGCCGGAGGAGGAGGGGACGAGGGGGCTGAATCCATCAGGCCTGGGGAGGGAGGGGGGGGGGGGTGGGGGCTGGCTTCTTCGCCGACGTGGGGGGGGGGGGGGGGGGGGGGAGGGGACTGACGCCAATCAGGCCTGGAGGGGGAGGGAGGGGGGGGTTGACAGCATTCAGGCCCGGGAGGGCGGGGGGGGGGGAAAACGCATGGGGAGGGAGGAGGGAGGGGGGGGGGGGCTGCCCGGAGGGAGGGGGGGGGGTTCTTCGCTTTCGGGAAGGGGGGATTTATGCCATTCAGGCTCGGGGCCGGGAGGGAGGAGACGGGGGAGGGGGGGGGGGCTGACGCCATTCAGGCCCGTGAGGGAGGGGGAGGAGTTTCCGCTCTGTCGGAAGGGGAGGGGGAGGGGGGGGCAGACGCCCATCAGGCCCGGGAGGACCCTCCGGAGGACGGGGGGGCTGACGCCATTCAGGCCCGGAGGAGGGGTGGGGGGGGGGGAGGGGGAACGCCATGGCAGGCAGGAGGGGGGGGGGGGGGGGGAAACGCCATGGCTGACGCCATTCAGGCCCGGGAGGAGGAAGTCGGGATGAGGGGGGAGGGGGGAAGCTGACGTCATGCCTGACGCTTTTCAGGCCCGGGAGGGGGATGTGGAGGGAGGGGAGGGAAGGAGCCCTGACGCCATGGCTGACGCCATTCAGGCCCGGGAGGGTGAAGTCGGGGGGGGGCGGGGCTGACGCCATGGCTGACGCCATTCAGGCCCGGAAGGCGGGAGGGGACATCCCATGAGTTTGGCTGTTCACGCGAGATCGCCACTTTCGAATATCCGACGGTTGCCCAAGCGAGTTCAATATCTCTATATTATGAGGATGTCTCGAGCGAGCGCTCTTGTTTTAAACATAGAAGGTCCTCCGTTGCAAGCAGAATCGGTAGCACCCCGGATCGGCGGCACTGGCTGGAAGCCACTACAATAAAATCGCACTGGGACCACTCGGGGATCTGCTGACCCGGGTAAATCCAGACCAGGGTCAGTCAGGCCTTGCAGAATCCTGCAAGATCCTGCAAGATCCTGCACCCAAGCCCGGGTCAATGCGAAGGATCCTGCAAAATCCTGCAGGATCCTGCACCCAAACCCGGGTCAGTGCGACCCTGGCCCTGCAGGATCCTGCAAGATCGGGCACTCTGGCTGACCCCCGTTTGCATTGACCCCGGTCTCAAGGCTCCCGAACCACGGACGTACACCCGGCGCCCGGCGCCGGTGCCGAATGAAACCCGACACATCGTCCCCGCAAACCACAGCGCCCCCCCCCCTCCAACAGAGCGCAGGGGCGGGCACACGCAGGCACGTGCGGCTGGAGAGCACGCAGCTCTTCCGCTGGAGAGCGGAGGACGAAGGAGGAGGGGGCGAAGACAGGAGGGGGAGAGCAGCACGAAGGGGACGACGAAGACGACGACGACGACGACGACGACTACGACGAGGTGCCGCCGCGCGGGTCCGCCGCCGATGCCGGATAGAGAGAGAGGGGGGGGGAAAAAAAACAACAACAACAACAACAACAACAACAACAATCATTTTACCCGAACGCGTGGTGTTCTCCCCAGTGCCAGGGTTTTCATACGACACCAGGCAATACCCCCACTTCGTGGGGGGGCATTACAAGCTCTACCAAATATCCAAACGACTCTTCGCGACCACCCAAACCCAGCTTCCCGCCCTATGACGTTGGGACACTTCACTTCGTGGCGTGCGGACGACCGTGGCTACTACACTGGCGTGGGGTACACACCCACAGAACTTGGTCACTTATTCGGGGCGCGCATGTGCCCAGCATGGTGCAATTGTGCCATACAATACATAATACAGAGAGACAGAGAGAGAGAGAGACAGAGAGCAGACAGAGAGAGAGAGACGAATGTGTCCCGCATGGTATTATTTGACAGGGATGATGGCCCTGGCAGGTGCGCAACCGTTGTCGCAGAAGTTCGAAAAAGTTGCTCGCAAAAGCCCGTTTGACAGAAATGTTTAAAAAGTGTTGGGTTTCCTACGAATCCGCAAGAGCGCGCGGGATGAGATTTTGACATTTTTTTGTTGAAAAACCATTGGTTTTTTGATGTTTTTATGTTAAAATCGCTCCGAACACTAAGCTTTTGGAAGGATTTCGTCTTGCGCGCGCGAATGTCCACTTTACCTTATTTTTTGCAAGGGATTCTTGAAATTTGATTATATTAGAACAAGAAATGTCATTTTATAGTGTTTTTTGCAAGGGAAAGCGGATTACAACAAAACAACCGGATCTTGATCACCTCGAATTACCTGAGGCTTCCTCACGAAAATGATGAAAACGTGGCTGCGGCCTAGGCGCGGCGGGGGGGGCGCGCACCAGGGGGCCCAACAATAATTATTCTTTAGAATTAATAATGTTCAACAACAACAACAACAACAACAACAACAACAACAACAACAACAACAACAACAACAACAACAACAACAACAACAACAACAACAACAACAACAACAAACTTACCAGCGCGGTCTCGCATCGCTTCGTCCCTCGGGCGGATGTTAACGTTGGAAGGGGTAATTGGGGCAACTCCTAGAAGGGCTTCGTGACTGCTGAGCCCGCTTGACGGGCCATCATACCGATTCAAGCTGAGTTAAGCCCTGAACCAGTCTAGGCAGGACTCTATTAGGGCGGTTTCTTGCCACGGATGAACCAGCCGATGCGGCATTTAGTCAACGCGGGGGCAATAGACGAGGGGCGGCCGATGATTGCAAGAGAGTGGCCCTAAGCTGCCGCTGCGGCCGCAAAGGTGCCAGAGAGGTGCGCCTCGCTTCTTCCACCCCCTCCCCGCTGAGTTCCATCCCGTTGCCGGCCGCCCAAATCTCTCCCGTCCCCTTCCCGCTCCCGCGGTCACGGCAGGCTCGTGTCGTGACGACTTGCGCGCGTTGATTTCTGGCACCGAGCGATCGCGGCGACTTGAGCGATCGCGGCCTCCCGGTAGCCGATGTCGCTCGATATCGGCCGATTTGGGACCACTGGCGGCGTTCAAGCTTGAAGGCTCGCGGAGGGGTCGCTAACGCGCGAACCTACCGTACCCCCCTCGTGCTGGTCACGATCTGGAAGAGACACAGATTCGCGGGCGCACCAATCCGCGCAGCAGTGGCCAGGGAGAACGCCCGAGCAGTACGCCCTTCGATTGCCACGGAGGCGACGGGTCCCGAGGGAAACGGGCCCTGGATCCCAGGGCTTTTCCACGGGACCCGCTTCTCGCCCTGAGCCGTTGCGGGGGGGAGGTGCCTGGGGAAGGGGACGACCACCAGATAGCGAGGGAAGCGCGGCGCGACCAGGGGGGGTGGGTGCAGGGGGCGATCACGCGCGGCATCGCCCAGATGAACAACGCCCCGTGGGAGCCAACGTCTGGGCCTCGGCCCCTGCCCGTGCGGAGGGCCCGTTTCCCTCGGGACCCCTCTCCTGCACGCGGCGGCACCCGAGGCCCGCCAGAGCACCCGCGCCCCCCCCCCCTTTCCGGGTCGGGGCTCTTCTCCATGTCGCGCATCTCGCGCAGCAGCCTGTTCCTCGCAGATCCGCAGGGGGTAAGGCTGGCGGGGGGCGGCGCCCAGAGCCCCGCGAACCTCGAGAGTTGCAACCGAGAGGGGGTGAGAGGGGCGAACATCGGATTTCGTAAGCAGATCGGACCCAGATACTAATCCCCCGCAGGTGCGGATGAGAGAGCGGGTGCTTGGCGGCGCTCTTAGAGCCACGGCTCGCTCGCTGCTGCCGGGATTTGAACCGAAACCGCTGCGAACACACCGCCAGTCTTCGGTGACCCCTCCAACATTGCCAGCACGGCCTCCCAGCGTGGCCGCCAAGCGTGGCCTCCAAGCGTGGCCTCCCAACGTGGCGTCCCAGCGCGGCCGCCGGAGAGACGACCCCAAGACGGACGAACGCGAGCAGGCACGGAGTAAGACCGCTCGGGCACCCTCTCTCTGACTCACCGAATCAGGCTGCACCTGCATGGAGCCAGAATCGGAAACGGATCAGCCGCGCCAGGATGCACAACGGGGTCAGGCGAGCATCGAGCCGCATCCCGATCGTCGGAACATCATAAAGGAATCGGATTGGGCCAGCCAATACCGACATCGAAACGGATTGATCGGATCGCCATCTCCTTCTCTTCCTCATGTCCCCTATCTTCCATCCTCCTCCTCCTCCTCCTCCTCCCTATCCTCTTCCTCCTCCTCCTCCTCCTCCTCCTCCTCCTCCCCCGCCTCTGCCTCCGCCTCCACCTCCTCCTCTTCCTCGTCCTCCATTCCTTCTCCTGATGAATAACTTCTCCCTGTCGCGCCCCAAGGCCTATGTCTAGGGCGGGACGGGCGTTTCGCCTGAGACTTCCTCACCACGTACGAATATGAAGCTCAAACAAGGGCACCAGCTTCACAGTTGGAGGGCGGGTGGTTTTCAAAATGTGGCTCTCGCCCTAGCGCCGCGCGCATTCGTTTTGAACATTTGCAAGAGCTTCACGGATCGAGGGCGGGTGGTTTTCAAAATGTGGCTCTCGCCTTAGCGCCGCGTGCATTCGTTTTGAACGTTTGCAAGAACTTCACGGATTGAGGGCGGGTGGTTTTCAAAATGTGGCTCTCGCCTTAGCGCCGCGCACATTCGTTTTGCAAATGTGCAAGAGCTTCACGGAGTGAGGGCGGGTGGTTTTCAACATGTGGCTCTCGCTTTAGCGCCGCGCACATTCGTATTGAACACTCGCAAGAGCTTCACGGATTGAGGGCGGGCGGTTTTCAAAATGTGGCTCTCGCCTTACCGCCGCGCGCATTCGTTTTGAAAGTTTACAAACATTCTACGGATTCCCATGATCAACGTACCAGAAATCGCGTTCTGGAAGGATCCAAGATTACGCGGGGGCAACAATTATGTTGACTCGCGGTGCTGCAGTCCCAAAACTGGCGTTTTAACACGATTCCAAATCGTCAGGACGCAGCACTCAGGCTTGTGGGGTGGAAAGTCCGGGAATCAAGTGTTCACATGCTTCAAGGTTTTCAAACGGTTGTCCCCAAACGAGGCAGTTCCCTCAATGGAAATGAACCGCTGTATGGGGCCTATGACAAAGGAGCTTGGAGGGAGGGTTCATTCCAGCATCGTTGATGATTTTTGGGTTTACACTGGTCCTCCTCCTCCTCCTCCTCCTCCTCTTCCTCCTCCTCATCATTATCAACATCATCATCATCCCCCTCCTGCTCCTCTCCTCTTCCTCCTCCTCCTCCTCCTCCTCCTCCTCCTCCCTCCCTCCTCTTCCCTCCTCCTCCTCCTCCTCCTCCTCCTCCTCCTCCTCCTCCCCTCCTCCCCGTCTACCTCAAATGCTCCCTCATCGCCCTCTTCACCGTCATCATCATCATCATCATCATCATCCTCATCAACAACGACAACAACAACCACGACAACACCACCGACAACAACAACGACGACAACAACGACAACAACAACAACAACAACAACAACAACAACAAGTACTCCGACGACCAGACCCCACACGATAATCGTTTTCGTTTACCCCTCGCCTTTTTTCTTATTCGTCTGGCGGACGTTTCCTACCGCCCTCTCCGTCCTCCTCCTCCTCCTCCTCCTCCTCCTCCTCCCTCCTCCTCCTCCTCCTCCTCCTCCTCCTCCTCCTCTCCTCCTCCTCCTCCTCCTCCTCCTCATCCTCCTCCTCCTCCTCCTCCTCCTCCTCCTCCTTTCCTTTTTTATCCTCCTCATGTTCCTTCTCGTCTTACTCGCTGTATGTCTCACCATTTCCCTCTTCGGCCTCCTCCTCCTCCTCCTCCTCCTCCTCCTCCTCCTCCTCCTCCTCCTCCTCCTCCTCCTCCTCATCCTTCGCCCCCTCCATTTCCTCCATATCCCTCCTCCTCCTCGGCCTTTGCCTTGCCCTCCTCCACGTCCTCCTCCTGCTTTCCCCCCTCCTCGTCGCCGCCCCGCTCGTTTTCCTCATGCACCTCCCTTCCTCCTGGCAGGGGCGCGCGCGCAGATTTTCCGTGGCGCCCTCGCCGTCACGCCTGTCAGGGCAGCCCCGCGGGCCTGGCCGTCGGGACAACCCCGCGAGCTGCTGGCGCGCGAGACCAAGCCATTGAGACAACCCCGCGGGCTCCGAGCGGGGCGCCGCCGCACTCAGGCGGGGGGCAGCACGAAGCCCAGCTCAGCGGCGAGCTGCTCCACCTCTACCCTGGACCTCTCCTTTCTGACGTCGAATTCCAGGAGTGTCTTCCGCAAGGATACCGGCGGCCCTAGTTCCAGGAACTCTCGCGGCGGCGGCCGCAGGATCAGCAGTTCCGCATGCACGCGTCGCGGGAGAACAAAACGTAGAGGCGCAGCCACCACTGCTCGTCCGACAGGCCCTTGCGACCAGTGTCCTCGTCCCTCGCGCAGTCGATGATGGCGCCCTTGCGCGGCCCTGGCCCTGCGACAGCGTGGAGGTGAGGTACGACGCGTGCGTCATGGTGAACCCAAATGACCCGCTCGGATGAAAAACATGAGCGGCGGGCCCCATATGGAGAAGGCTCCCGCCTGAGACTTCCTCGCAATTCACTCACAGACGGGGCTCCCGCCTGAGATTTCCTCCATATTCAAACATCATGGGCCAAAAAATGACAATAGTTACAGGAGGCCGATGACCCGCTCGGGTTACTCACGTGAGCTGCGGGCCCCACAGGGAGGAGGATCCCGCTTCAGACTTCCTCGCAATTCACTCACAGACGAGGCTACCGCCTGAGAGTTCCTCCATATTCAGGCTTCAGGGGCCCAAACATGAGGACAGATACAAGATCCCGATGGCCCGCTCCGTTAAAAAACTTGAGCGGCGGGCCACATTGGAAGAGGGTTCCCGCCTGAGATTCCCCCGCAATTCACTCACAAACGAGGCTCCCGCCTGATATGTCCTACACAGCTAGGCCTCAGGAGCCCAAAGGAGACAGCAGTTACAAGATCGCGATGACTCGCTCGGATGACAAACATGAGCGACGGGCCACATATGGAGAGGGCTCCCGCCTAAGACTTCCTCGCAATTCACTCACAAACGAGGCTCCCGCCTGAGACTTCCTCCATACTCAAACATCAATGGCCCAAAAATGACAATAGTTACAGGAGGCCGAGGACCCGCTCGGATTACTCACGTGAGCTGCGGGCCCCAATGGGAGGGGGGCTCCCGCTTCAGACTTCATGCAAATTCACTCACAGACGAGGCTTCCGCCTGAGACTTCCTCCAAATTCACGCTCCAGGGGCCCAAACATGAGGACTGATACAGGATCCCGATGACCCGCTCGGTTTAAAAACTTGAGCGGCGGGCCACATTGGGAGAGGGCTCCCGCCTGAGATTTCCTCGCAATTCACTCACAAACGAGGCTCCCGCCTGATACTTCCTACACAGTTTGGCCTCAGGAGCCCAAAAGAGACGACAGTTACACGATCCCGATGACTCCCTCGGATGAAGAAAGAAATGAGCGGCGGGCCACATTATGGAGAGGGCTCCCGCCTGTTGACGATGGTGTTGTGTTAAGGATGATGATGATGATGGTGATGATGATGAGTGATGACTAGTAGTTGCGAGTGAGTGAGTGAGTTGGAGAATGAGAGTGTGTGCGAGTGTGTAGGTGATGATGATGATGATGATGCGGTGATGGTGATGATGATGATGATGATGATGTGAGCGTGTGAGTGTGTGAGTGAGGAGAGAGGGGGGTCCTTCCATCCTGTTCCTGCGCGGGGTGTCCAAAGAAAACAAGATATCCACTTTGGATGTGGGGAACAACAACAGCAATAACAACGACCACAACAACAACAACAATAAAAAACATCATCATAATCATCATCATCGTCATCATATCATCATCACCACCACCATCATTAGCATGTGCATCATCAGCATCATCATTATCATTAGCATCACCACCATCATCAGCAGCATCAGCATAATCATCAGCAGCCTCACCATCATCAGCATCATCATCAGCATCAGCATCATCACCATCATCATCTGCATGAGCAGGATCATCAACAGCACACTCATCGTCATCATCATCAGCAGCAGCAGCATTATCATCATCACCAACATCATCACAATCATCATCAGCATCAGTATCCTCCTCCTGCTCATCATCATCATCATCATCATCATCAGCAGCAACAGCATCATCATCATCATCGTCGTCGTCTTCATCAGCAGCATCATCATCGGCATCGTCATGGGCATGATAATCATTGTCATCATCATCATCCTCAATATCAGGATCATCAGCCACATCATCATCATCAGATCGCCATCATCATCATCAGCATCGTCAGCGTCGTCGGCCTGATAAGCGTTGTCAACATCATCATCCTCATCATCAGAATTGTCATCCGGATCATCATAATCATCAGCATCATCGTCGTCATCAGCATCATCATCATTTCAAGCAGCAGCATCATGGTCACCATCATCATCACCATCAGCATCAGCAGAAGCATCATCATCAGCATCATCATCGCCATGATCATCAGCATGACCATCATCATCATCAGCACCATCATCCACATCCTCATCATGAGCACTATCATGATAATCATCATGGTCATCACCATCATCATCAACATCATCACCATCATCCTGATTACCGTCACCATCACCAGCACAACAATCGTAATCGTCATGATCATCGTCGTTGTCATCATCACCATCATCACCATCACCATCATTATCATCACCATCATTATCATCACCATCATCATCATCGTTAGCATCGTCACAATCGTCATCATCATGATCACAAACACCATCACCACGATCATCGTCATCGTTTTCCACATCCTCAGTACCATCATCATCATCATCATCATCATCATCATCAGCATCATCACCATCATAATCACCATCGTGTTCATCACCATCGTCATCATCGTCATCATCATCCTGATTACCGTCACCATCACTAGCACAACCATCGTCATCGTCATAACCATCGTCGGCATCATAATCATCACCACCATCGCCGTCACCATCATCATCATCATCATCATCATCATCATAATCATCATCAGCATCATCGTCATCATCATTGACATCGTCATCACCAGCAGCATCGTCACCATCGCCATCATCGTCACCATCACCACCACCACCACCACCATCATCAGCAGCATCAGCATCACCATCATCATCGTCATCATCATCATCGTCACCGTCATCATCGTCATCATCATCACCACCATCATCATCAACCACAACACCAGCATCAGCATGATCATCATCATCAGCATCGTCGCCATCATCATCGGCATAAGCATCATCACCATCACCAACATCATCGTCATCATCATCATCCTTATCATCCTTATCATCATCATCAGCATCATCATCATCATCATCATCGTCATCATCATAAGCATCATCATCATCGTTATCATCTTGACCATCGTCATCATCATGATCACAGACACCATCACCACGATCATCGTCATCATTTTCCCCATTACCCTTATCATCATCATCATCATCATCACCATCATCATCATCATCATCATCATCATCTTCATCATCATCATCATCATCATCATCATCATCAGCAGCATCATCGTAATCATCATCAGCATCATCAGCAGCCTCATCATCGTCATCATCATCATCGTCATCAGTAGCAGCATCAACACCATCACCATCATCGTCGCCATCACCACCGCCACCACCACCTCTTCCATCATCATCATCGTCATCATCATCGTCACCATCATCATCGTCATCATCATCATCGTCACCACCAGCATCATCAACAACACCAGCATCATCATGATGATCATCATCATCATCATCAGCATCATCGTCATCATCAGCATCACCATCATCTCTATCACCAACATCATCATCATCTGATTATTCATCATCCTCATCACTATCATCATCAAAATCGTCATCACCGTCATCATCATCATCATCATCATCATCATCATCATCATCATCATCATCATCATCATCATCATCATCATCATCATCATCATCATCATCGCCATCACCATCGCCATCACTATCACCATCACCGTCACCGTCACCGTCACCTCTTTAGGCTATGGGCTGTCCTCGCCATCGGGGGCGCGCCCAGCCTGCCGGCCTGGGTCTAAGGGCGGGCGCCGCCAAAGAGGCCCGCCCCAGGGCGGCCGCGCGCAGCCTGAGCCTCGGAGCGCGCGCGACGCGGGGTCTGCGAGGGAGTGGCTCCAAAGGGGCCCTCCCACCCTTGGTGGCAACGCATGGGAGCCTTCCATGCCATCTTGCTGTCTCTTGCGGACGACGCTGACCGAAGCTAATCGATGCGAATCGACGCGAATCGTCGGCGCTTTCTCTTCGATGACTCGACGCTACCGCACGCTGGCCCACTAAAGACGAAATACCGAGGACATGCCGAATCCCATGAATTGCTACCGAATCCCACCCCCCAGACCCCTTCGCATCGTGAAACAAACGCGACGGGAGGTTCTCCGCTATTTTTCCCAACCATCCTGTGGTGTTGGGTCCTCGTTTTGAAGAAACGGTCCCCGCGTTCTCCTCTCCTCTCCTCATCTTCCCCCTCCTCCCTCCTCCCATCAGCATCATCATCATCATCATCATCATCATCATCAGCATCATCGTCATCATCATCATCATCATCATCGTCATCATCATCATCATCATCATCATCATCATCATCATCATCATCATCATCATCATCATCATCATCATCATCATCGTCATCACCCACCATCATCGTCATCATCACCATCATCGTCACACCTCTCACACGTTTCGTGGCCCCATAGGGAGCTCCACCGAAGGCCCCAGTGCTGCCGCCCGCATGCGTCAGCCACACCCAATTCGGCATACCCCTCACACGTTTCGTGGCCCCATAGGGAGCTCCACCGAAGGCCCCAGTGCTGCCGCCCGCATGCGTCAGCCACACCCAGTTCGGCACACCCCTCACACGTTTCGTGGCCCCATAGGGAGCTCCACCAAAGGCCCCAGTGCCGCCGCCCGCATGCGTCAGCCACACCCAATTCGGCACACCCCTCACACGTTTCGTGGCCCCATAGGGAGCTCCACCGAAGGCCCCAGTGCTGCCGCCCGCATGCGTCAGCCACACCCAATTCGGCACACCCCTCACACGTTTCGTGGCCCCATAGGGAGCTCCACCGAAGGCCCCAGTGCTGCCGCCTGCGTGCCGCGCACGTGCCGCCACGCCCCAGTGCATCGGCCACACCCAATTCGGCACACCCCTCACACGTTTCGTGGCCCCATAGGGAGCTCCACCGAAGGCCCCAGTGCCCGCCGCCCGCATGCGTCACCCACACCCAATTCGGCACACCCCTCACACGTTTCGTGGCCCCATAGGGAGCTCCGCCGAAGCCCCAGTGCCGCGCCCGCATGCGTCAGCCACACCCAATTCGGCACACCCCTCACACGTTTCGTGGCCCATATAGGGTGCGCCGCCCGCATGCGCCACCCACACCCACCACAGTTTCCGGCCCCATAGGGAGCTCCACCGAAGGCCCCAGTGCCGCCGCCCGCATGCGTCAGCCACACCCAGTTCGGCACACCCTCACACGTTTCGTGGCCCCATAGGGAGCTCCACCGAAGGCCCCAGTGCCGCCGCCCGCATGCGTCAGCCACACCCAATTCGGCACACCCCCTCACACGTTTCGTGGCCCCATAGGGAAGGCCCCATGCTGCCATGCCCCCACCCAGGCACAGCGTTTCCACCGCCCCACGCATTCGTCCCGCACACCCATTTCGGCACCTCCACCAAACACAGCGTTTCGTGGCCCCACAGGGACCTCCACCGAAGGCCCGCATGCGTCACCCCCACCCCAGCAAAGCATTTCGTGGCCCCACAGGGAGCTCCACCGAAGGCCCCAGTGGTGCCGCCCGCATGCGCCACCCCCACCCAGCACAGCGTTTCGTGGCCCCACAGGGAGCTCCACCGACGGCCCCAGTGGTGCCGCCCGCATGCGTCACCCCCGCCCAGTACAGCGTTTCGTGGCCCCACAGGGACCTCCACGAAGGCCCCAGTGGTGCCGCCCGCATGCGTCACCCCCACCCAGCACAGCGTTTCGTGGCCCCACAGGGAGCTCCACCGAAAGCGGCACCCGCAATGCGATATTCACAACTGCATATGGTTGGGTCCTTCGCCAGGATAATTCGGCCTCTCGGGCCCTAACTGGGCGGGCCCTGGGGCTGGCAAAAAACAGCTCGGGATGAGAAGCTACTCCGCGGAGCCCAGACCTCTGGGGGTCAAAGTCATGAGAAAAATACGTCGGAGGTCTGGGAAATCTGGCTCCTCTCGACCCTCCCACCCGTTTCATCCGCGGCCACGGCACCAGACTCATGCGAGGTCTGGTGTCCACAAGGGTCAGGCGTCGGCCGGAAGTCCCAAGCCCGCCACGGGAGAGGGGCATGGCGTGCCTATCAAGGAGGTGTGACTCGGCACCTGGGTGGAAGGCGCCAAGCTTCCCGAGTGCCGGCGACAGGGCCCATCCCCCACCTGTTCCCCCTCCCGCGTGTCGCCGTCCGTTCCGCCTGTGTAGCGAGGAGCGTAGGCCTCTCCGAAGGCGGAGGGTGCCCGCGAGAAGATCCGCGTGTCGGTGCACGGCGTGCGCACAGAGCCGTCAGTGGTCGTGATCGGGTCACTGCCCGCTGCGGTTTGCGCTTCTTTCAGTGTTCGAGGCTCTGTGCACTGATCTTCTGCTCAGGAAGATCAGCTGGCATTCCAATGAACTGCCTTGTGCAGGTCGTACTACTACTGCACCCCCACCCGCACTCCCTGGCAATCCCTCCCTCTATTCCCCCTTTGTGGGAGGGGGGAGGGGGGGGGGCAGGAGGAGGGGGAGGGAGGGGAACGGAGGGGAAGACGGAGCGGGTGAAGGGAGGGAGGCTTACCCGCTCTGTGTCGTCCCTCCTCCATCCATCTCCCCCCAACCACCCCGGGCCGAACCGGACGGCTACCCTGACAACGACGAACCGAACCGAACCGAACAGGAAAATTCCGACGCCGAACCGCCGCTTCGGAACCTAACCGAACCGAACCAGACCCTTCCTGTGCTACGACTCCTTGTACTACGACTGCGACTACGGCATTGTCTACTACTACTACTACTACTACTACTACTACTACTACTACTACTACTACTACTACTACGACTACGACTACGACTACGACTACGACT